GGGGCGTCACGACTGCGGACCAATCGGAAGGGCCCTGGGCGGGGCTTGGGAGATGAAGGGCGCGGGCCCACGCCCTGAAATCACAGGTGGCTCCGGGACCCGCAGGAGGAGTCAGAGGCCTCACCTGGACAGATTGGAGGTGAGGACGAAGCTCGGCTTGACGGAGGTCCTGAGCTCCAGATCCTGAGAGCCAGAAAAGCTGGCGAGGCGGAGGCTGAGCGGGGCCTTGCTGCCCGGGGCCAAGAAACCCGGGGGGCCACTGAGCTGTGGGCGAGGCAGGTGAGGGCAGGAGCCGGTCCGGACCTCTCCAGCCAGAGCCCGACTTCCCCCAGTCTCACCTCCAGCAGGACGGGAGTCACGGTGCAGGGCTGGGGCGCAGCCCTGTGCAGGCCCTGCCCGCCTCCGTCCTGGCCTATCAGCTCCAGGGAGAAGGGGCCGGGGGTGGACAGCAGCGCAGGCGGCAGTGAGGCCGTGAGGAGACCTCGCTCCGGGGGCCCCTTGGGCTCCAGGGCCACCTGCCCCAGCGTGGTGCCCTCTGGGACCCTTCGAAAGACTACGTGGGAGAAGTGTGGCAGACGACCCCCGGGGTGGCCTCTGGAGCCCAGCCCGGTCACTTCCACCAGCAGCTGGATCGGGAGCCCTGGGCCAGGAGAGGATGGAGAACAGGGTTTGCATGAAAGAAAAAGTGGCGACTGGGTTCTATGAAATCCATCAAACTATATACTCAAGAGCCGGGTGTGGTGGCGCATGCCTGTAATCCCAGCACTTGGGAGGCTGAGGCAGGAGGATCGCTGTGAGTTCGAGACTAGCCTGGGCTACATAGTGAGTTCTAGGTCAGTCTCAACTACATAGTGAGACCCTGTCTCAAAAACAAACAAACAAAAAAAACCCCAAAAACAAACCGTACACTCAAGTTCAGTGCTCCTTCCTCAATAAAAAGATGCATATCTACAGGAGCAAAAACAGGTGTGTGCACACGTACTTATCTGCACTCAGGCTTATACAATGGACTGTGGAGCTGCCCCGGGAATAACATACCTGCAACTGGCTGAGCCAGGGGGTAGAGACCAGGGTGGGGTCCGTCCTCCATGGGGACCCCGAAGTGGAAGAGGAAGTCAAGGGTGGTCTGGGCTGGGGGAGGGCGAGGGCAGAGACCCTGAGAAGACTGAGCCTGGTACCACCCCCGAGCCCGGGGCTCTTCTGGCCCAGGAACGTCTCCTCCTTACCTTGCACCCTCACCCGAGGGGCGCCCTCAGCTGCGACCTGGATCTTCCAAGTCCCCGTCTGCGGGGGGTCCGTCAGGGTCACCACCCAGAACTGGCCAAAGCGGTGAGTGTGACCCAGAGGACCCACCCCTTCCTCGTGGTTCTGAGACACCCCTGGGATGGGAACAGAGGTTCGTCACACAAAACAACTTCCTTCGCTTAGCACATCTCCCTTGCTGGCCACTGCCCTTTCCAGTTTTCTCTTTGCCTTGGGGGACGCACAGAGGTACCTGCAGGGCTCTTGATCCAGAAGCTGCTGATCTCCCCATGCATCCGGACAGTGAGCTTCTGGAGCAGCCCGTCCACACTGAACATAGCTACTCTCCCGGGCACTAGGACGGGAGGTTCCAGGGGAAGAGTCACCTTGGGAGGCAAGCGGGACCAAAAATGGGGGAGAAGGCAAGGCAGGGAATGAGGCACAAACAAAGGAGAAAGTTGCAGACAGACGCCAAGCCAACAAGGCCCAGGGAGGGTCACAGGCCCAGGGATGACCAGTACTGTGGTCATTGACAAAGCTGGAGCTGAGGATTCAGAATGAAGTGGTCACTTCCTGTTCTCCCTTAAAAGATGGCAGGACTTCCTGTCATCTCCCTGAGGACAGAGCACCAGAGACCGAGGTGGAGCAGAGGTTAACTGATTTGAAAGGACAGGCAGAGAAACTTCCTTCTCTGCCCTTCTGACCAAAAGGAAATACAGCACCCTTTCTCTTCTAATAACGATGCAGCATCACATTGCAGCACTGACCTGAGAGCACCCACCCCTTATGAAGTGTGATTGAAAACTACAGTGGGAAAAAAGAAAAAGAAAAAAGAAAAATACGGTCAATCTTTAAACTTTAAAAAAAATGTAACCGTAAAAGACAGAGTGCCATTAATCCTCTTCAGAATCCTCCCCCTGACTTTGAACACATTCTTCTGGTCGCTCTGGCCAGTTTGTGAAGCAGTTCTGGAGTCCTCTTTTGTTTGTTTTTGGTTTTGTTTTGTTTTGTTTTGGTATCAGGGATCGAACTCCAGTCCTCTTTTGTGAGCATCTTTAGTTGAGCTGTTGTGGCTGCCTCCGTGTCCTGAGTCGATCCAAAACGTTTACCCTTCATGGTCATTTTGACTCTGGGGAAGAGCCAGGATCGTCTGGGGCTGGGTCCAGTGCATGGGTGGACGAGGACACAATAATGTTTTCAGGAGCTGCGTTTCTCGGATGGTGCTCGACAGCAGCACTGACTGGATTCTGGATCACACCTCATAAAGACTCACAAAAGAGGACTCTGGGAATGACTAGAAAGTGCCAAGAACAACGTGATGTGCGTTCAAACCAAGAGAGAGTACTTCTGAGGAGAATTTATGGCAATTTATCTTTATAATAAAAATGTGTAAACTTGGGCTGGGGATGTAGCTCAGTGGTTCCACTGCCTACCTTGCAAGCACAAGATCCCAAGTTCGATCCCCGGTACCGAAAAAAATTGTAAACTTAAACATTAGCCGTGTAATTTGTCACCTCATACTCACCAGAGCACCTATGCTGTCCCCAACAATGGCCGCTACATCCCGAATGTGCTGGTCTTTGGTGAAGATCACTTCTCCTCCTGACGCGAGGGCCACTGCCTCATAGGGCTCAAAGCGCAGAGGTGACAAGACCTCACGGCGAGTTCGACCCTGACCCCTCGAAGGATCCTCAGTCACCAGGAACGTCACCTGCGGTCAGAAGGCCACGGATGCTGGGGCGCCATCTACTTTTGTCAGTGAGGATCCCTGCTGCTCAGGCTTCCACGGAGTTGAGGATCGGTGACCGCTTTCGGGCGGGCCTCCCCTCCCACCAGCGCTGCCTTGGCCCTGCTCAGTAGTGAGCCACCCTGGGGACCCTAACTGTCTTTCACGGCGGGGTCTTGGCAGTAGTTCTTCAAAAGGTTTATTGGGCAGATTCAAATATGAATTCAGCACCATTGAGGCAGGGCAGGGCCTCCGACTGCTGGAGTGATGACTGCACTGGGCGCAGCGGCACACGCCTGATCCCAGCTACCTGAGAGGCTGAGGTAGGTTCAAGACCAGCCTGGGTGACTCAAAGCCCTACTTCCAAATGAAAGGCCGGGCAGGGCACTTCCCCAGCTTGCATGAGGCCTTGTGGTCCCCACCATGATGTGCCGAGGCTCTGTTAGGGGTCCCTCCCCTCCTTGTGTGGCTAACGCCATTCTCCCTCCAGCTGCGCTCACCCTGCAGTGCCGCTCCCGGGTCAGGGATTCAATCCTGTTGGTGAGAAAGGCGTCCTTGGGGGAGGCGTCCGTGAAGACAAAGATGTCCGAGAGCGGCGGCGTGTGCAGCAGGGCGAGCTGGCAGGGAGGGAGAGGGCTGGCATCAAATGGGGGTGGGTAAAGCCGGGAGGACAGAGTACAAGGGAAGATGGGGTGTGCACCCGGGAGGAGGCTTTGGAGCTAGGCTGGGGGTGGCTCCCCCTGGTGGCGGGGCCTGGACAGGTCAGGGTACGCGGAAGGCAGCGGCAAGCCCAGACCTCCAGGGCAGACAGGCACATCTCGGGCTCGTCTCCACCCCCCAAGGCCTGGATCTCATTGAGCTGCTGCCAGAAGCTGTCAGGATCGCTGGTTGTGAAGACAGGCCCAAACCCTAGGCAGGGAAGGAGGCTGAGGTGAGTGCAGAAAATCTTCCCCTTTTCCAGGCATGGTGACCCACCCTGCAGTCTCAGCACTTGGGAGGCTGAGGCAGGAGGATCAGTTTGAGTTCGAGGCCAGCCTAGGCTACACAGTGAGACCCTGTCTCAAATAACAACAACAACAAAACAAAACAAAAAAAAGGACTAAATTCGTTGATTTTACAAATTTTAGAATAAAATCTTACTCATACCTTCATCAAACATGTAATAAGTCCCTATTAAACACCAGCCACTATGAGATTTATAAGGCAAACCAGACTCAAAGCTGCCCTTTCAGGGATTCAGTCCTGGAGACGTTCTCTTTGATGATCCCTGCAACCCTGGGAGTCTGGCACTGACCTAGTTAGTGGGTGATGAGAACGAGGCGAGGGAGGGTAAATAAATGCCAGCCGAAGGGCACAGCCAGCCCGGGTGGCCAGGCCAGATCTCCTGACTTCCAGTTCAGTGGGGGAAGGAAGTAGACAGTAAGCACCCCAGACACTTCCTGCATGAACAGACCCCTATCTTCATCCTAATCTCACTACAGGAAGTCCAGAGTCGAAAACAGCTTATATTGGGCCGGGGATTTAGCTCAGTGGCACTGTGCCTGCCTTGTAAGCAGAAAGTCCTGAGTTTGATCCCTGGTACCAAAAGAAAAGAAAATAGCTTATATCCCAGAAGCCTAAGAAAACAGAGGCTCTGAGCTGGGTGTGGAGGGGCAGGCATGGAGTTCCAACACTCCAGGAGGCTGAGGCAGGAGGATAGTAAGTTTGAGCCCAGCCTGGGCAACTTAATGCCCTGCCTCAAAATAAAAAGATAAAAATAGCACAAAGGCCCTGGGTACATCCCCTAGTAAAACATAAAATTTAAATTTCAAAAAAAGGAAAGAAAAGAAAGCAGAGTCTATGTGTCTAAGCATGGATCACACTTTTTATTTTATTTTATTTTATTTTTTGAGACAGGGTCTCAGGCTGGGAACATAGCTCAGTGGTGCAGCATCTGCCCAATGCAGGATCCTACTATGTAGCCCAGGCTGGCCTCTAACTTATGGCAGCCCTCCTGCCTCAGCCTCCTGAGTGCTGGTGTTAAGGTGTGCACCACCGTGCCCTGCTAGATCACACATTCGACTAATAGGAAAAGTGCTGGGCCAGGGCTGTAGCTCAACAACTGCCTGGCAAGCACCAGGTCAGGAGTTCAATTCCTGGTATTGAGGAAAAAAAAAAGTGCTACCTTTTTTGGTTTTTGCTATTTTGGCCACTTGTTTTCTATGTAGCCAGTGGAGGCTCACGAAGAACCACAGGAAGACTCACAGAAGTGAATCCTCCAGGCCCATCTCCTGACTGAGGCCTGCGCCCCCTGCCCGACTTCCCTTCCCCCACCCCCGGTATCGCGACACTACCTGGGTCATGGAAAGGCACCAGGACATAGTGGACGGGCTCCATGGGGCTGCCTCGCCGCTGCTCCACGATGTGGCGAGCCTGCACCTTGGCAGCGCTGATCTCCTCGCCCATACTGCCCGTGGTATCCAGGACAAAGCTCAGGCTGGAGGCCGGGGTGATGTCCAGCAGCCTGGAAAGCAGGCCAGAGATACAGTGAGGCCTCCGCACGCCATCCTCGGCCCCTGGTTCCTCAGGAAGCCACTCACCTGGAGAAGCCCCTGTCTCCCAGGCGGCCTCGCAGGAGGCTGAAGGCCTGGATGGAGGCCAGAAGGGCCAGCTTTGCAGCCTGCGGGTGCAGTGCATGGTGGGGGGAGAAGCCTGGGGATGTGCTGTCCTTGTTGATGCCTCCCCGGGGCAGCTGGGAGCTGCTCCGGTCAAAACGGCCCCCATGGCTACATTTCCCTGGGTTGAGGAAAGAGATCTGGAGGTGGAAGTCAAAAGGCCACTGCCTCCTAAGAAAATGGGCCCTTTTTGACCTGGCCTGACCCTCTCATCTCTCAGCAAAAGATCAGCAGCAAATGGCATTCTTTGGTAGAAAACCCAGAGTAAATCCGGGGGTGGGGGTCAGTCACCGAGCACATGAAGGCCCCCAAGCTGCCCAAGGGTAACAGAAATCCTGTGAGCAGAACAGGAAGATGCTCCCCAGCCTCCTCAGCTGGCCTCCATCCACACACACCTCTCCCAGCAGCCTCCTCTCCTAGTCAGGGATGCCACGGCAGATGGAACAAGGGCCGACAGGGCTGAGAGCCCATGCAAGTGATGTTCTCCCCATACTCTGGGAGGAGAGCTTTCCCGTGTGGTACCTGGAGGTTTGGGAGGATGAGTTCCAAAGTAGCCAGAAGTGAGGAGCGTGGAACCCAGCAAATTCCTGGGGCAGCTCAACGCCTCACAATCAGAGCAGGTAGGGTCGTCCACTGGGAAGAGAGAGCAGGGGGCTGGAACAAAACCCCAGGGACTTTATCCCTGTCCTCCCAGAATCTGCAGCTTTTCCTTCAACCCCAACAGGTGACAGCCCACAGCTTCCAGGCAAGGCTTTCTGAGCCAAACCCTGGAGTTCTGGGGCTGGCAGTGGGAGTGGCTGTTTGAGACTAAGACTGTACAAGAAAAGCCCAGAAAGGTTCGGATCTATGCTATGAGGATTTTTGCCCTCTGTGAGCTGCAGACAGGAAGTGAACTTGTGGTGGACAGGAAGCGGCTTCCAAGTCCTGATTTAAGTGGGCGGAGGTGGGGTGGGGGTCTGAGGTTGGGAGCCTGGGTTCTCCCTGGGGGTCCTGGCCTATTGGTTGGACTAGGACTTCTGGGGACGAAGGCACATCCCATGTGACGTGAATGCAGAAAGGGGCACAGTCGCAGGCTGGCTGAGCGGAGGTGGCTGTGTGGATTCCCCGCTCTCCCAAGCCATGGCCGTACCTTGTGCCAGGCTCCAGAGCTCCTGCCTCCTGGGCCAGAGGAGGTGAGGGTGTGGCTGCTGCCTCCCCAGCTCCACCCAGTTGCTGTGACTGTAGAAATCCTGGGTCCCGGGGAGAGAAGGAGGAACGGGCAGGGACAGTGCTAGCTGGTCTGATTCCTCTCACTACCACCACTGTCAGAGACCCAAGTCCCCTGCATTTCTCTCTCTTCCTTGCCCAGCACAGAGCTCTGCCCACTGGGAATCTGCCCATCTCCAAGGGGCCCAGGACACTGCCCCCTTCCTCTCTCCAGCCACCACCACAGCCTCCTGCTGTCCACACAGCAGGGAAGGCTGCCCATGGCGGGGTCTCAGGTGCTGGCCAGCAGGGGCCCCACTCTGTCACCTGCAGGGCGTGCAGTGCGGCCCCGAGGCGCTGGCGGGCCAGCGTGTGCTCCAGGGCTCTGGCCGCCGCCAGGGTCTCCCGCAGAGCCCCTGCCAGGCGTTCGCGTGCCTGGCCCAGCCGCTCTGCATCAAAGTGCAGGTCAGGGTCATTCTTGGAAGCCGCCAGGAAGTCCTGAGCTGCATTGGCCCGAGACACCTCTCCTAGGGCTGCTCGGAACCGCCGGGAAGGAGACCCAGGTCCAAAGTAGGCGGTGAAGAGCTCGTCAGCGAGCAGGGTGCGGCCCTGGTGAGAGCGGTGGGGACAGCAGCCCTTGGATGGGGCTGTTGCCCCCATTACCTCAAGGCTGGGACAGCACTCAAGGCTGGGACAGCCAGGGACACGAGCGCCGGCCACAGAGAGCAGCCCCAGACGTCCCAGGTCCAGTCCCGACTCCAGGACAAGGGCCACTGCGTGCCGCTGCTGCAGGGCGGTGGGGAGGTGAGCAGGTGGGAGGAGAGGTGGCTGGGACAGGAGGGGACAGTGCTCACCAGGAAGTCCGCGAGGCGGAGCGGGGGCCGACCTGGGCGCGGCTGCTCCAGGAAGAGCTGCAGGGTGATGTTGAGAGCGGCCTCCTCCGTCAGGTCCTGGTGGGTGACGGAGCCTGGGGCGGCCAGAAGGCTCCAGATGTTGGGGAAGAAGGCGGATGTGGGTGACAGCAGCAGCAGGAGCAGCACTGAGGGGCCCAGGTAGAACAGGGGCAGCTCGGCAGTGAGCATGGCTGAGGCATGGACCTGGGGACAGAAGGCTGAGGCAGGGGAAGCAGCAACGCCAGGGCAGGCCTGGCTGGCCGTCCACGTGGGCACCTCCTTCGTTCCGGCCTGGCTCCTCCGGCCCCCAGACAACCTGAAGGCCTCATTGGGCCAGGAGGGGCAGAGGACACCTCCCAGGACGGGGTCCAAGGCCCCTCTCCTGGCCCCCCTCCCAGCCCTGCCCAGGGACGCCCTCGCACACGGGTAGCAGTCTCCCAGGCCTCTCCCCTACCTGGTTGGTGGGTCTCCTGGGCAGGGCCGGCCCGGGTGGTGTCACAGGGCACTCAGGTCAGAGCTATAATTAACCAGGCCTCCGTGGAGGGGGAGGGAGACCTGGCAAGGCGGGCAGAACAGGCAGCCCGGGCCCTCTACCCATGCCGGCCCCGGCCACAAGCAGCCGGTGGTACGGTGGCGAGGCGGGCTCACCGAGCTGCAGTGCGGAGGTAAGGACTGGGGAGGAGGGAGCGAGCGCATGACTCAGGCCTGGCACTGTGCCAGGGGCAGACCCAGGATGTGCACCTCCGCCCTCCAGCACCCAGGGCCGGCCCGCCTGCAGCCCGGCTGTGGCTCTGGAACAGGGGCCTCTGCACCCCTCCCACCCCACCACTGCACAGACAGACAAGTTTGTGGTGAAATATTTTATTGCTGCTGTCTCCAAGGTGGACCCTGGGGCCGTGAGTGCTGGAGCTGGGTATCACAGCATCTTCTGGAACAGCGCGATGGCCTCCTCCACCTTCCTGAGCTCTGCCTCTGTCTGCCTGAGCTGGGGTGGAATAAGGGGGACAGGGTGAGGACCCAGTTCTGAGGGGCCCAAACATCCAGGCTGCCAGAGAACCCATCATTCCGTCCGGCTTCCTGCCAGCACCCCATTCTCTCACTGTGCCTCTGCCTAAGGGTCTCCCTGTCTTTTTTTGTACCGGGGATTGAACTCGGGTCCTTGCGCTTGCAAGACAGGCCACCGAACCGCGGAGCTAAATCCCCAGCCCAGGGTCTCCGTCTTGAGTGATCAAAGGGAACCACACCCTGCCCGGCGCCCCCACCACTCAGCAGGTGGGCACAGGCTGCCGGGTGAGGCAGGCAAATGGAAATGCTCGTGCATCTCCTGCAGGAGGCACAGGGCTCAGACAAACGGCTACGGTCTCTCTTGCCAGCTCGCAGCCTCACGACTGCCCCGGTCTGTGCAGTGTACACACCGCCCTCCCGGGGACCACAGAGGAAAGGTGCGGCGCCAGCCTGGCTCTAGGGAAGCAGGAGGCTCTGACCCGGGCTTGCGCCCTGCGCACAGCTTCCCAAGTTCCAGGCAGCCGGGTGGGCACAGAGGTCTGGCGGAGACGGTGCCTGTTCTAGGTCTGCCTGTCTCCAACCAGCTGTGTGACCCTGCAGCTGGGGACAGGGAGGGGAGTGCTCGGTCCCTGCTCAGGGGTGTGGGCTGCCGGCTCCCGTGGACTCCCGGGGCTGGCAGAATGAACGCACCTTGGCTTCGTCCGCCTCCTGCACCTCAAGGGGCACCTTGCCGGAGTAGCCCGCGGTGGAGCGGCGCTCCTGCAGCCGCTGGGCCTGGCGCTGTGCCTCTGCCTGCTTGGCCTGCAGCTTGCCC